GTTGGGATATTTTTTTTATATATGGCAAAAGTTGGGGCATTTTTTTTATTCTCTCATATCTTTAACATAATGGTATTTGTTACAAACGTTTCTTATACAGGAGGTCCAAAATTACATTTCATACAAATTTTTTTGAAGTCGTCTATCTTGATATGTAGCAAGGCAATTAAACTAAATGCAATTGCTGAGTGACTTTTACTTGCCACAATTGGATAGCCAACTTTTATCGCCTGTGTGATCGACGGAAACTGCTGCAAATTGCAAGCTTTATAGCGCATTGCGCGTTGATCCCATAATGCTAAAGTTCTGATCATACGTCAGCAAGTAACTATGTTAATCTCCGCAAAACATTTTCTGGCCAATCGATACATATTAAAAGTCCTAAGATCATCTCTTGGTTTATAGCAATACCAAACGTTTGTCATCAAGCTTTACCTCATAGTCTCTGCAAGCTTAATCATCTCACTCTTCAAAAAAGATTATATGATCATCTCGTCACAACTATATGTCTTCTGATTTTCAAAGAAATATTCTCGATTTTATGTAACAGATATCTTTCTTCAAGCGACGCGAAATTGTCTTATGATTGGTCTACGATCTTGAAGCTTGCTCGACACACTTTCAAGATCATTCATTCTCCATGAATCGAGACATTGATAATAACACACATGATGACGATGAAGAGGACACAACGTCAACATTAAATGAAGATGAAAGCCAGCAGACTGACGAAGATTCAAACATTCGCATTTACTTGCGTATGAAGCCGTCAAAAAAACCGTCAAACTTTTTTTCGTGGGATGAAGAGACTAATATGATGCAGTATGATATTCCAAAAGATGTTGCAGCTGGACTCATCAACAACTCGCGTACATCATACAAATTTCGATTTGATTCGGTCATTGGTATGGAAGCCAAACAGGAAGAAGTCTTTGACCGAGTCGGACGTCCTTGTGTCGAGAGTGCATTGAACGGCTTTAATTCGACCGTTTTTGCATACGGACAAACTGGATCGGGAAAAACTTTTACTATCACTGGTGGAGCAGAGCGATACGACGATCGCGGACTTATTCCTCGTGCGTTGTCAATGATTTTTGAGCGAATGCGCAATAACCACGAACAGATCATAGCTCACGTCTCATATCTAGAAATTTACAACAATCAAGGCTATGATCTTTTGGATCCGAATCATGAATCAACAACGTCGTTAGAAGATCTACCGCGTGTGGCAATGCTGGAAGATGAAGACGGAAACTGCCACTTACGCAACTTGTCCATGCATCCCGTCACAACGGAGGAAGATGCCTTGAATCTGCTCTTTTTAGGTGATACTAACCGTGCGGTGAGTGAAACGGTAATGAACTTGACATCTTCCCGTTCACATTGTATATTCACGGTCTCGTTGGAATCAAGAAAAGTGGGGAGTGAAGTGGTTCTACGCTCCAAGCTGCATCTTGTCGATCTAGCAGGATCGGAGCGAGCACATAAGACTGGTGCAAAGGGACAACTACTGCGTGAAGCTGCGTACATTAACACAAGCTTACACTATCTTGAAATGGTCATTGTGGCATTACATGAAAAGAATACCAAGGGTAGGACACATATTCCATATCGAAATTCCATGATGACATCGGTACTTCGTGACTCGCTCGGCGGCAATTGTAAGACGGTCATGGTCGCGACAGTGAGTCCTGAAAAGAACCAAACTGATGTACGTACGACATAGTTTCTGTACGTATCCAAAGTAGTTACTCATTGTCAAGAAGATGTAGGAATCCGTGTCAACGTGTCGTTTTGCTCAGCGAGTGGCGCGTGTCAAGAATGACGCGCGGCTGAATGAAGAAATTGATCCTGCAGTGATGATTCGCCAGCTTAAAGCGCGTGTAGCTTGCCTTGAAGAGGAAATTGCTGTCCTTAAGGGAGATGTGGTATGTCGTATCCACTTTTGAAGGAAGCGACGTTGAGATTTTATGAATTCGCACGTTAATTTGTAGAATGAAGGCGCAGAGCTCAAAGAGTACGAAATGGATAAGCTGCGACAAAAGTGTTTGGCGTTTGTAAATGATATGGATCCAGACGCCCACTTGTCGATGGGAGAGTTTACCTACACGAGGATGAAGGCATGTTTTGAAATTCTTAAGGGTATGGCAAAAGGTACAGGTGAGTCAGCAGCGTCTGGATGCAATTCCATTGGAAGTTCTGGTGTCAAACTTCTTTCGGCTGGTAGTGGTGGGAATAATCTTGAGCTCGAGCAACGAGTTCATGAACTTGAAGAGCTCGTTCAACAGCGTGACAATGAAGTTGCCATTATGGTCAACATGATCCGAAAGGAATCAGGGGCTCTCATACCTGCAGAGCTACAAACGAGAGGGTTCGTTAAGTACACAAGTAATCAGGACGAGCCAAAAGATGGGATGCTACGAACGAAGCAAAGTGCGTTAAGCAAGCCATTGAGTAACTACGCATCATCTTTGAAGATTGATCCAGCGATATTAGACGACCCAGTTAAAGCATTTGAAGCCTTTAAGACACAATATCCAAAGAATGACGCGATTCGGGACAATAAAGTTGCTCTCAAGCGTAAGTATGACGCAGCTAAAGCTCTTGCGAATGAAGTGAATGATGCACGGAATCAGATAAAGGCGTTAACGGTACAAATTGAGAAGCTCCGAAAGCAGCAAGCAATGGCCAATGAAGGTTTACTAGGGACAAGAGACGAAGACGAAACTTTTAGTCCAGATTCAACAATGGCGACTGCAGCTCGAGCAGATTTTGACACCGCAGAACAAAATCTGAAAGCTCAAATCGACATGCATAAAAGTGCGTACAAGAAAGGGTTTAATGAGTTGAGTGAGCTGAAAAAGGAGATTCAACATATTCAGAAGATGCTCGAAATGGGGCGTCTTAAGTTACAAAAAGAGTTTGACTTGTGGTACCAGCGGCAAGGAAAAGGAGCTCTTTTGACGGAAACGCTTCTCGCTCAAGCCAAGCCAGACGCCAAAAACGCTTTTGATATTCAATCGGTGGAGTCAAAACCAACCAAATTTACTTCCGAAGAACGACCTGAACGAGTAGTTTGTAAATCAACAGCTTGGGATCCACAACTTACTTCCAAAAGCACCTCTTCGTCAGCAAGACTGAGTACTGCTAGGTATGTTTTGATTCATCATGTATATTTGTATGATGTCATCAATTCAACATTGTTTACCTGGTTCTTGTAGCACGGTTGATGACGATGTTTCGGAGTTTTACGAAGCTCTTGATATTCTTAAGCGTCGCAATAAGACAAGAAAGTAAAACGCTCCAGTAGGCTATGTTTTGACCTTATAACAAAGAAAAGCTTAACGTCTAGGAGCTGATTTCTCAGCTTTGGTCACGAGAAAGAAAACAATGTTTTGTCCGAGACAAACAAGGCGTTTGATCTTTGTTACACAATTCAATTCTGCTATTTTAGGATGAAGAGATCGCGCGAAACACCCACAGCTTGCTGCGACTCGTCGCTCATAATCAAAGGAGAAGGATAGCAGGATAACAGTTTGTAGTTAAACGAGTTTGGCACCATGGCAATGTTTAGTGCCCGTGGCCTTAACAATTTTATCGGTGATTTGCGTGCGTGCACTTCACGTGAAGATGAGCAAAAGCGTGTAGACAAGGAGTTGAGCAAAATTCGTCAGAAGTTTACGCAGACTGCGAGCAGTTCGGGTTTAGGCGGCGGGGGTCCGGCTTTGCAGTCGTACGATCACAAGAAGTATGCGTGGAAGCTTATTTACATTTACATGTTAGGCTATGATGTGGACTTTGGTCACGTCCAGATCATTAGTCTTGTGTCCGGGTCTAAGTATTCGGAAAAGTGCTTAGGCTATCTAGGCTGCTCCATTCTTTTAAAAGCTTCCGACGAGCTTATGACGCTCGTTATCAACTCGATTCGTAACGATCTTAAATCTCGTGAAGCAAGCTCTCAGTGTCTGGCTTTGTGTTGTGTTGCAAACCTTGGTGGGGCCGATTTAAGTGAGACCATGGGGCCAGATGTAGCAGGACTGCTCACTAGTTCGGCTAGTATCGCTCACGTTCGTAAGAAAGCAGCGCTTTGTGCACGTCGTTTACTACCAGATAATCCGGAGCTCTTACCAGTGCAAGATATGGAGAATCGATTGTATGAGCTTATAAGCGAAACGCACTTGGGCGTAGTCACGTCAGCTGCGGGGCTACTACAGACCGCTTTGTCTCTCCATCCGACAGCTTTTCGGTCACTAATTGAGCCGTCAATCCAGAGACTGAACCAACTTGTTACGCACAAGAATTGTCCGCGTGAGTACATGTACTACAATACGCCATGTCCATGGCTTCAAGTCACGTTGCTTCGTATATTGCAACAATTTCATGCGCACGGTGCATTAGATGCCGACTCAGCCGACGGACGGCTTAATATGTTGCTTAATGAAACGCTGCACCGGGTGCTGGCTCGTACGCCACCCGGCAAGAGTGCAAAGAACAACGCTGCGTATGCTGTATTGATTGAAGCAGTTAATCTTGTCATAGCTCGAGGCAAACCACGTGGCGACACTGACAATCCCGCATGCAAATTACGCGAGCAGGCTGTTGCGCTCTTAGCTCGTTTTATCTCCGTCACGGAGCCCAACATTCGCTACGTCGGTCTTGACTCGATGTATCGTATGGTGCGGCTAGACGGCGATGGTACTAGTGTCAAGCAATACCAAGAAACGGTGCTTTTCTCACTAAAAGACGCCGATCCGTCCGTACGTCGTCGTGCGCTCGACTTGCTCTTTGCTATGTGTGACACAACTAACGCCCAGGAGATTGTCGGCGAGCTGGTCAATTATTTGGCCGTCGCGGAACGTACAGTGAACACTGTTACGACTTCTGGACCTGTTAGCGGCATTCGAGAAGAAATTGTTTTGAAAGCAGCGATTTTGGCTGAAAAGTATACACGCGATTTGCGCTGGTATGTAGATACGGTGCTCCAGTTGCTGACTATTGCCGGCAGTGAAGTGCCCGACGCTGTGTGGCACCGTGTCGTGCAGATTATTACAAATCGCGAGGAGTTACAGCGATATGCCGCCGAACAAATGTTTAAGGCCATGGAACCTCGCTTCGTGGATGAGACGACTACCAAATTTGGGGCATACGTGCTTGGTGAGTTTGGCTATTTGTTGTGTGATGACGCTAGTATGAGCGGTACGCGCCAGTTCGACGTACTTCACCAGCATTACGCCGATGCAAGTGTGCCCACGAAAGGAGTTCTGCTCACAGCCTTTGTCAAGATGGACAACTTGTACGAAGAACTGCGATCGACTGTTCACAGCGTGCTAGCCAAGGCTGCAAGTAACATGAATCTAGAGATTCAGCAACGCGCTTGTGAGTATCTGGCGCTCCGTCAGCTGTGCCAGAAAATTCCAAATGGCGATGAAGTTCTTCGAGCTGTCTTAGAGCCGATGCCCATTTTCCCTGAAAATCGGGAGTCGGGACTCATCGTGCGTCTTCGCAATCAACAAAAATCTGCAAATACGGCAGGTGACGGCTCCGTATTGCCTGAAGAGGGATCGACGTTTTCTCGTTCACAGGCGCGTGTAAGTGAACAGCCAGCAGCAGTAGCTGATGCAGTCGATTTGTTATGTCTAGATGAACCAGTAGCTCCGAAGACGTCAATTTTTGAGCAGAATGCGATCCGTGGACCGAATCCAGCTGACCTAAGCGACTTCTTTGGTGGAGATCTTTCAAATAGCAAACCAGTAGGTCTCGATGCTGCGTTGGCACCGCAACTCACAGCGTGGGCACGTCACCTTATGCTCAATCCTCAAGGTGTGCTGCTTGAAAATGATGTGGTACAGATCGGTGCCAAGCACGAATATCGAGGTTCTCAAGGTCGAATGAATTTATTCTACGGTAACAAGACTTCCGATACACTGAACAATTTGTCAGTCCAGCTTACGACGGGCAATTCATTTCGGGTTCAGAGTAATGAGGTACCGTCACAATTGGCAGGAAAGCAGCAGGCTCAACAACAAATAATGATTGAAGCGATGGCTCCTTTTACTGAACCTCCGACAATGACACTCAAGTTTTCGCGCAATGGAACGAATTACTCATACCGCATGGCATTGCCATGCCAGTGTACAAGCTTCATGGATCCCGTTGCATTGAGTGAAGAAGCATTTACACAACGCTGGAATTCTCTTGAAGGACATGATCGCGAACAGAATGAAGTCATTTCGGCAGTTAGCAAAGTTGACATGACACAAGCTCGTGGATGGCTAAGTACTAGTTTAAAATTTGCTGTTGTTGATGGATTGAGCACAACTGGTACTCTTTTGGGTGCTTCCACCTTTCGTACGGGAGCAGTAAGTCCTAATGGCGACAAAATTTCAGTTGGCTGTCTTGTGCGCCTAGAAGCTGGTGACGATAATACCTACCGTATTCGAGTTCGTGCGGTGCATCAAGACGTAAGTCTAGCAACCAAGAACTGCTTGAAGATGTTGCTTCAAGTGTAATGTACTACAGCGATTGAAAGAAGGGATTAAAAGAAGGGATCAAATAAAAAAGATGACATGCTTGAATTCTTCTGTCTTATTATAAAGCTTTTCTTGTGTCTTGCAATGTACCGATGTGTTTGACGGGCTACCGCCCAAGTGTGGTGTTTGATATTCCAATTCTACAGTGCTGGCCAAAAATCTGTAGCCATGACTAATTCTCAAATTTTTATGTCAATTTTCAGCGAAATACCCTAAAACCGTGTAAAAACGCTATTGAGACAAAGAGCTTCCAGAGCATATCATTTTTTTTCACAGACAAATTTTCGTTGCGGAAATCAAGAAGCGACCATCACTCTGACCCTGGACAGAAGTACGTAGCAGCGTGAAGTTCATGCGCTTTTGAAGATTGA